TAAGTGGGAGAACTTGCACAATTGGTGGCTGACTAAATACTTTTTCGCCCCACTGTATATGCTTCATTTTGCATTATATTTTCCCTCACAGAATGCAAATAGTAGCATCTGAAATCTGAGAAAACTCTCTGAATTGGCTGCCATTATTCCCAATTTTTGATGTGCATGCAAACTGCAGAATCCTAGTATCTTGTACAAACGCTGAAAGGATGATGATAAAGATTTGAACAGAAGAGGAAACTTCTAAAAGGCTTCTAAGTTCTCTTTAACTCCCAGTTGCAAAGCATAATTCCAACTTTATACTGACACACTGAAGTGATAGCTTAAGACATCTGTCACAGGATCACTTCAAATCTGCTTCTGTGTACCACAAGAAACCTTTTGCTAATAGAAAAATAATCTGACGGCATTTTAACAACCAGGAGAATTCAAGCATGGGATAGTGGGTTTGACAAGAAAAATTCTTTCAATAATATATAAAGCCAACTAGTATTATACAGACAGTTTTTGATTAAGAATTCACAACATCAAGAAGACATACTGAATTTCACAGAAATATTCTATCATATCAGCATTGTTCTGGATGTCTGAGATTTCCCAACAATACCTAATAAGACAAACACTAGTGCCTGCAAATTATTTCCCAAATTTAAATGCCCAATTTTTCAACCACAGATTTATATGGAATGCTTTAGAGCTGACATTTTAACAGATTATCATATTATTTGCAATCTTCAGTAAACAGTAAACAGATAATTAATATGAAATGCTAAATTGAAACTTACAGGAATATTGTGATCCTTTCTTCCTTTATGTGATGAAGCAACATGTGCAAGATACTGAATAACTTTCTTGGTATTTTCTGTTTTCCCAGCACCTGATTCACCTCTGCAAAAACATAAATAATTAAAGCTGAATCTCTGAAAACAAACCATCAGCTGTTCAAGACAAATGTAATTGCATGGAATATACTTTGAATGGTAGACAGCAATACAAATTTTAATGTTGGACAACAGGAAGATAAATTTGTTTCAATATCAGAAAACGTGGAGTTGACCATTGGAACAAATAGTTCTACAATATTATTTAAAATAGAAGAAAGACTAGAACAGATTATTATTTAACACCATGGTTATAGATTAGACATTCAGAATTCTTTCAAATTAAATAAAGGATTTTTACTCTCATCCCATACTTTAATAGAAAATAATACAACAGAGAAAGAAAGCAATGCTTTTGTGACCAGTTGGCCCAGTAAAATTCCATTTATACAATTCTTAGTACTTTAAAATTTCAGTGCTTTAAAATCTTTACTTTCTATCCTCATGCTGATCTCTTTAAGTAGTTTACAGTAGTACATATCTACTGATTTCTTTAGATAATTACCATAAGAGAATCACTTGCCTAAATCTACCCATTCAGTTGACATCCACAATGAAATTTTGAAATCTCATTTCCCAGATCCAAATCTATAAATCTTGCATGGTATATCTATAAAACCAAATACATTAATAATTTAAACCATGCTTATTTCTATCTCATGTTACTTTTCTATTCTTCTATTACAGTATACATGTTAGGTATTTTAGCCACAGATGGGCAGATAAAGTTACAGAACTCCATTCAAGAGTGCTCAGCCTTTATACAATCTATTTTAATATACCTAACACTACATTCTTTTGGATTAAGACAGTTAAGGAAAGGACTAAAGTTCAGTGGCATGTTTTATATAAAGATGATCCCAGTTTCAATCCCCAGCATTTTTACATAGTGAAAAAAAAAATCCTCTTTAAAACTCTACAAAGCTGCTGTCACTCAATGTATATGATACTAAGCTGAATCTATAACAATTCTGACTATATAAGGAAGCTTCCCAAATATTTTACATTCCTAAATATCAGCCTGAACAGATGAAAAATATTTTTTTAAGAGTTCAGCATCAGTCCAATTTTAAAAATGGAGCCTTGAAACCCTTCCTAATTACATATAGTGAAATAATTTTCCCTGTGGTCAATGTTATTTTTGGAATCTCAAAAGCTCCTTATAATGTGGACAACAAACATTTAATGTCATGCATGTAATAATCTGAAACAGATTAAAAAAATCAGAATCAAAACAAATAGCATAAATGTTCTTGACTCCATCAATCTAACTTTAGAAATAGAAGCCAAGGTAAATAAAAGGTTTTATATATTCTCATAAAACTACATATATGGCTCAGTCTTCAAGTTTTTGGAAAGATTATTATTTTTTAAATTATATTAAGAACAGAATTTGGGATGATTTGGAAACCTTTAGTAAAGGGTGAAATTGATACATGATTTTTCTGATGCAAACGGAAATCTCAGTTTGCCCATGAGTGTGATTCTGTTCTGCCAAAAATAAAAGTTCCCATACTCACTTCATCACTTATTTCCACCTGCACTTATCATTTTGTAATTTTGCAAGTTTCTTAGTATAGTAAAGCAAAAAAACTATGATGTATTCAATTTTAATACAACTTACTTCTCCAAAGAAAGCATGGGGTTAGGAATATGGAATAAATATTCCCCCCTCCACCTAGAACTTTGAAGAGCCCTTTTCTCAAAAAAAATCATTTCACCTACTTCTGAAATCTTACATTTTTCTTACACAGGATCACCTCTGTGGTATGCATGTGGATAAGGGATTTTTTCCCGAAACCCTCAATCTAATGTAAGTAGATTTTAACCTGCTTCCCTGGAATGAAAGAGGCAGCTTCATGTCTCTCTCCTTCCAGTACATATGGTTCTGTGTGTGTACATATTTGCATATGCACATGCTAGTGTACATGTAGAGACAGGCAGGTGGTTTTCTGTGCTGGAATGTATACATTGTTATCGGTGCAGTATATGAAAGTACAGTGCAGAAGATTTTGTTTCTAAGTATGAGGGGAAGGTTGCGATTGTGTACCTGCCTCCAAAAACGCAATACCTGTGATGAAATGTATCTACGAGGAGGAGAGTGATGTGGGAGATCAAGGCTATCAGGAA